CTTTCTTCCTCAAGAGCGTCTGGTGGGTTCGAACTGCGGACCTTGTGGTTAACAGCTCAATGGGTTACCCACTATACCACCAGAGCACCTTGGTCTGGCAGTCAAGACCTAGTAATCCCTCATGATGTGATCGAGCACAATGACATTAACCTCAGAATAGGCTCTACTGTAAGCAGCCAATCTGTTTTAAGATGATTACAGAACGGGATGTAACCCCCTTACTCAGGTCACAGTCTGATACAATTGAAAGGAAGTTTGCTTGAGGGCGTGGCTTACATTCTATATAAATGAATGCTGTGGAAAAGCTTGCTTACTTTTACCTGGATCCTGCACCTGGCTCATTGACCTCTGGTATTTGACCTTGAGCCAATACTTGCCATTGTTGCCTGCCTTGTTTTCATTTGCCTCTCCAATCCCAAGCCTGACCTAGTAACCTTGGATTCATCCATTGCCTGTGGTCTTCCAGCCAACCTTGAGTTCATCAGCCTGGAAAAGCCTCTAGTTTAACATCTGACCAATGGACTTGAAACCTGCCTGGACTCAGACCGGTCGACTTCAGCAACCGTGTGGGTCATTTTCTCCATAAAATCGTAAACGCACACACACAGAAGTGTCCCTGGTTGGGGCTCTCTAAAGAATCCAGCCTCAAGCAAGGGCCACATGGATGATATTTTTAGAAGCTGAAAAATAAGAAGGAATAAATTCTCCTGTGGAGTGTCTACAAGGAACGAAGCCCTGACAACTCATTTCAGATTTCAGAATTCCAGAACAGTCAACTAGGAAGTGTGTGTTGTTTGACGCCACCAGGTTTACAGTGATCTGGTACAGCTGTAAAGGGAAACGGATGCCGAGTCTGGTAGCAGGAATGGGGTGCTGCTGCAACCACAAGTGAAGACACTATGTTGGAACGTGGCAGTGAGGAGAACTGGAAGAATTCTGAGGTGCACAAGACTGAAAGCTTAGATTGCCTTGAGCAGTGTGCTGACAGAGACATGGGTGCTGAAGTTGATGCTGAGGGCTCCAAAGACACCGAGCAGCATGTTACTGGAAGTTGGAGGAAAGGCCATCTGTGATATGCAGTGGCAGAAAGCTGAGCTCGACTGTGCAAGTGCACTTACGCAGAACAGTCGATGCACAATGCGGGATATTTAGCTGAGAAAGTTTCCAAGCAAACTACTGAAGGTGCAACCTGGTTTCTTCTTGCTGCTTACAGTAAAAGAAGGGACGTTCACTGAAAAGGAGCCAGTCAACGATGCCAGGTTAATTCCCAGTCTGTTCATACTTCAGAAGAGGCTAACACTGGGCAAGGCACTGTCAGGATAGCAGACTTGGAAAAGCAAGCCAACCATGTCGTCAAATAACCTTGTGCTCACCCCCCAAAGGATCAGAAAGTCACAGCACTGATCACAAGACCTCTCGGTATGGATCAGGCATTTGACTCTTGGATTCCCCCACACACACCTCAGTCATCTCAGCGTACACCAGGAATAGGAATGGGATGAACCAGGCAGGGACTGTGAAAGATTGTCTTGCCAAATGATGTAACTCCTGACATCGACAGGAGGCCTACAAGGAATTGGAGGCTATCATAGAGTGGACACGCTGTTGACGTGGACCCAACGGGACAGAGAACGGGAATGAAAGAAGGCTGTCAAATTCCAAAACTTCGACATGAAGAAATAAAACTAGTCCATTGCAAATATATGCTACCCTTTAAGAAAAAGGAAGGACAAGACAATGTACGCAGAGTGGACGTCCCAGAGCATGGGACCCCACGTACGGCCAAGACGCCTCACAGTGTGTGCAGACCCAGAAGCCTGGTCATTTGAGTAGGATTCCGAAATTGCCTGACTTCTATTTCCCTTCCACTTTCCCCCTTTTGAAGGGGAATGTTGTTGGCTGAACGATCCCATGCCCGTCTCACAGGGTAATTTGACAGCAAGGAGCCTGTTTTCTGATGTAACAGATGAAGAGGAAATTTTCCCCAAGAGGGATCAGTCTCACTCAAGATTTTTAGATGATTTAGGCAATGGGATTGGTGCATTTGATCTATTAAGACTCAGACAAAACTTTAGACGTGAGTGGATACCGTGATGGGTGAAAATGTGGGGGCCTGGGGATAAGGCATTCTGGTGGTGGAGTGGACTAATGACCCGTTGGGCTGCTAAACGAGGGGTCGATGGCCCAAACACACTAGCTGCTCTGAGGGAGAAAGATGAAGCTTTCAGCTTCGCTGAAGATCTAGTCTCAGAAGCCCACAGGGTCATTTCTACTGTCAAACAGGATTGCTGTGCCTCAGAAAGGACTTGATGGCAATGAGTTTGGGGTGAACTAAGGAGGCTAGGTGTCACTGTAGGTTAGGCATTGAGCTGCTAACCACAAGGCTGGTGGTTCAAACCCACTCTGCTCTGAGAGAGAAAGAAGAAGCTGTCTGTTCCCATAACACTGACAGTCTAAGAAACTATATATAGGGTCACTATGAATCAGAATCAACTCAATAGCAGTGAGTTTTGAGGGATGTGGGATGGGATTAAATCATTTTTTTTGCATATGGGACAGATGGGAATCTGTGGGAGCCCGAGGGAAGACTGTGATAGCCCAAATAATGGTCCTCCCAGAGATATGCAGCTCCTAAGCCCCAGAACCTGTGATTGTGTTGCTTTAATGGCTAAAGAGATTGTTTAGATGTGATCAAGTTAAGAATCCTGAGATGGGGAATAATTCTGCATTAGCTGTAGGCATAATGCAATCCCAAGGGTCTTTTTAAGAAAGGACAAGGGACTAGAAGATGTTACACTGCTGGCTTTAGACAGAGGGTGCTGTCCTGAGTCAAGCAAAACCCTGAAGGTCTCCAAAGATGAAAAGGCAAGGAAACGTCTCAGCGAGAGCCTCCACCTACAAACAGCCCTGCTGATGCAGTGACATCTAGCCAATCGCTAGCACTCCAAGATAATAAATTTCTATTGCTGTAAGCCATGAAGTTTGCAATAATCTGTCCTAACGGCAAAAGAAAATTAATGGTTTCCTAGTTTCTGCACTTCTCTCAATGTCAATTAGAATCAAATCAAGACATCCACTACTAAAGAATTCTGATTTGAATGGGTGAAACTCGAGAATCCCATGGTAAGCCTTAGTCCTAATGGAAAGAGCCTACGGGGGCCAGGGTCAGTGGAACATGGCTAGGGCCCTCTCTTCCTCCGACAAGACCAGGTCGTGGGAGAGCCGCTGCATCTTCTCTCCTTCCGTTTGACTGGTGGCAAGGAGTTGCTCAGCACTGTCTCCCAGCAAAGAGCCACTCCACCTTGTTTTCATGCACGCAAGGGATCCCCAAAGGCAAATGGCAGGTTTCTGTGTGGCCAGTACGTTTGGAGTGGTTTTTATCAATTTTAAAGGTTAGGGGCGGTGGGTGGGAGGAGTCAAAAGAAGACCCTAATTCTATGAAAGTTGAAAATTTCATCAAGTCCCCATTTCTTTTCTTTTTTTATTGCTTCAGGTCAGTGAAAGTGAGACTTTATTAAGGGCCCAGAGCCATTGGCCCCAGGAGAACCCCAGCAGGAGGCAGGAGAGCCGGTAGACAGGGACCCTTATTTGACCTTCTTCTTGGGACGCAGGTTGTTGGTGTGGCCACACTTCTTGCGGCAGTTAACTGCACGGGGGTGAAGGCGAGCATAACACTTGCGGCAGATCATCTTGTCGCAGTTGTACTTCTGGGCCAGCTGGCGCAGGGACGGCTCGATGATACCACCACGCAGACGCAGCACCAAGTGCAGGGTGGACTCTTTCTGGATGTTGTAGTCCAAGAGAGTGCGGCCATCCTCCAGCTGTTTACCAGCAAAAATCAGACGCTGCTGGTCCGGGGGAATGCCCTCCTTGTCTTGGATTTTAGCTTTGACATTCTCAATGGTGTCGCTGGGCTCAACCTCAAGGGTGATGGTCTTGGCCGTCAGGGTCTTCACAAAGATCTGCATGTTTGCGTTAGCCGCTCGGGCCGCCTTGCTGAAGAGAAAGAGGGCGGCCAAGTCCCCATTTCTATGTCCAGAAAACACAGATTCATTGGAACCCAGCCATATTCATTCATTCATGTATTGTCTATGTCTATTGCTACAATGCAGAAGTTGAAAAATAGCAGCAAAAAATCTCTAGGCCTTTCCCGAAAAATCTCGAACTAGCCCTGCAGAAGGGATTAGATTACATGCAGAGCTAACCACTTTGAGTTATTTTCTGGAATTTCATATGACTCAGATTGTTTGCTTTGCTCTATTACACCCTGTTCCATCTACCCTTGGCAAAGTCCACCCGAAGCACAACACTCAGACAAAAGATGTAAAAAGATCTCGGCCTTAATGGCATCACCCTGTTGATTAACATTTTTAATAGCTTAAAATAAATACCAGAAAAATGTACGTTGGTTGCAATCTGAACCGTGACCAGCTTGGAAATGCTGGCTTCAGTTAAGGCTGGCCACAAAGCCCTTAGCTATAATTTTTGCTACACTTCTGACTAGAAATGTCTTTTCCCGTGACGATGGCCCAAGCGGCTAGAATTTCCCTCTGAAAATCAATAGTGACTGATAATACAACTCTATGGAGAGTAAGAGGCAGAAAATTAAGCACTCCTTTTAAGTGTTTATTTCTAAACCCACCATAAATTGCCTGCAATAAAGATCTCATGACCTTTACAGAAATCCATCTTGGCCCTGATGGCCCAGCCAGGGATAGGTGGTATAAAAGAGGATATTATCATTTAAGAGTGGGTAATATTATTTGTCCTATTGTTTATTTTTATAATGCTTGCATAGATATTCCTGCTTTTTTAGTGAGTAAAGAAAAACAAGAATAAACTATGTTAAAAGAACATTAAGATGATCACAGACATATTCTGTCACTGCAAGGGCAGAGAGAGAAACGTGCTATTTTCTGAGCATACCACGCGCCCAGGTGTTAGGTGGCATTTTACATACATCTCACCCCAACTACACACACACATAATCTCATCCCCAGCAATCCTATATAGACTCGTTGTTGTTGTTGTTGTTAGGTGCCGTCGAGTCAGTTACTACTCACAGCAACCCTCCACACAAACACAGAATGAAACGCCAACTGGCCCTGGCCCATCACCATCATCGTTGCTATGTTTGAACCTATGACAGCCACACTGTTAATCCATCTCATCGAGGGACTGCCTCTTTTTCGCTGCTCCTCTATTTCACCAAGCATGTTGGTCAGTCCTGATGACATGTCCAGAGTATGAGACGAAGTCTCATCATCCTTGCTTCTAAGGAGTATTCTGACTGTACTTCCAGGGTAGATTTGTTTGTTCTTCTGACAGTCCATGGTACGTTCAATATTCTGCACCAACACCACAATTCAAATGCATCAAATCTTTGATCTTCCTTAATTATCATCCAACTTCCATGTACACATGATGCCATTAAAACTACCAATGGTTTAGGTGGGGCACACTTTAGTCTTCAAAGTGACACCTTCGGTGCAGATGTGCCCAATGCAGCGCATCACTTGGTTTCTTCACTGCTGCTTCCTTGAATACTGATTGTGGAGTCGAGCAAAATTAAATCCTTGACAACTTTAATGATTTTTTCTCCCTTTACCATGAGGTCTACTGGTCAAGTTGTGAGAACTCATGTTTTCTCCACATTGAATTATAACCCATACTGACAGCTGCAGTCTGTGATCTTCATCAGCAAGTGCTTCAAGTCCTCCTCCCTTTCAGCATGTAAGGTTGTGTCATCTGCATATCAAAGGTTACTAATAAACTTTCCTCCACCATTACAGAAGGGTCTCGGGGAGGAGATAAAGTCTGTCAGGGTGCAGTATAGCAACAATGACACATACAACTTTCCTCTAGTTCCTAAATGCTTCCTCCCCACCACTATCATGAACCCAATTCTACCTGACAAATCCGGCTAGACCAGAGGATGTACACTGGTACAGATAGGAACTAGAAACACAGGGAATCCAGGACAGATGAGCCCTTCAGGACCAGTGTTGAGTGTGGCAATACTGGGAGGAGGGTACAGGGAAGGTGGGGTAGAAAGGGGGAACCGATTACAAGGATCTCTGTATAACCCCCTCTCTGGGGAATGGACAACAGAAAAGTTGGTGAAGGGAGACGTCGGACAGTGTAAGACATGACAAAATAATAATTTAGAAATTATCAAGGGTTCATGAGGGAGGGGGCAGTGAGGAGGGAGGGGGAGAATGAGGAGCTGATACCAAGGGCTCAAGTAGAAAGCAAATGTTTTGAGGATGATGACAACAAATGTACAAATGTGCTTGACACAATGGATGGATGGATGGATGGATGGATGGATGGTGTTAAGAGTTGTATAAACCCCAAATAAAATGATTTAGAAAAAGTTATGAATAAATAAAACACCTTTGCTGGGAGAAATAAATAAATAAATAAACCTTCGTCCAATTCCTTCCTTCCTTCTTCATATAATCCAACTTCTCAATTTGTTCAGCACACAGACTGAATAAACCTGGTGAAAGTACGCAACCCAGATGCATGCCTTTCTTGAGTTTAAACCATGCAGTATTCCCTTGCTCTGTTCTGAGGGCCAACTGGTGGTCCGTGCACAGGTTCCACGAGCACAAGGAAGTGTTCTGGAATTCCCATTCCTCTCAAGGCTCTCGAGAGTTTACTGCGATCCGCACAGTCCAATGCCTTGTCAGAGTCAATAAAACACAAGTAAATATCTTTCTGGTACCCTATGCTTTCAGCCAAAACCCATCTGCCATAAGCAATGATACCCTTGTTCCACATCCTCTTCTGAATCCACCTAGAATTTCTGGCAGCTCTCTGTTAATGTACTGCTGCAACCACTGTCGAATGATCTTTAACAAAATTTTACTTGCATACAAACTGTTTGAGGATTTCTGTATTCTACTGGGTCACCTTTCTTTGGAATGGGCACAAATGTGGCTCTCGTCCAGTAAGTTGGCCAGGTAACTGTCTTGTCAATTTCTTGACATACAATAGTACATTCTTCCAGTGCTTCATTGGCTTGTTAAAATAGTTCAATTGGTATCCCATCAAGTCCTGAAGCCTTGTTTTTCACTAATGGCTTCAGTGCACCTTGGGCTTCGCCCTTCAGTATTACCGGTTCTGGTCAAATGCTACCTCTTGAGATGGTTGAAGGTCGATCAGTTCTTTTTGGTACAGTAATTCTGTATGCCTTCCATCATCTTTTGATACTTCCTACATCTTTGTTGCTTCCTGAATCATTCATCATTTTGCCCATAGAATCCTTCATATTTCAACTCAAGACTTGAATTCCTTCTTCAGTTCTTTCAGCTTGACACATGCTGGGCATGTTCTTCCTCTTTGGCTTTCTAAATCCAGGGTTCTCCACATTTCTTATTAATACTCTGACTTCTTGAGCTGCCCTTTGACATGTTCAGTTCGGGTTTCAGGCACTGTCTGCCCTGTTCTACAGTTGAGGAGATGGATCCCTAGCTGGGCTCGTCTACTTGTCTGGGACCACGTGGTGATTGAAGGCACAGTTGCACACCCCAGGGCCAGCACGTCTGTCTTGGAAGAGTGGAGGCAGCAGGCAGCGTTGGGGTTTAAACGTTAAGAGTCGGAGGGTTTGGAACCAGAGAGGGAGTTCCTAGGCGCTCACACGGAGAGTGACTCCAGAGTAAGTTATTTCACCTCTCTGAGTCACAGTTTCTTCTTTTGTAAAAATAGAAAAATTGTAGCAGACTGTGCCGTAGTAGGTTTGTCCTAAGGATTAAACAAGATACTGCAAGTAAAGCAGTTGGGACCAAGCCTGGCGCTTGGGAAAGGCTCGCCAAGAGTTCACCTCCCTCCCCACTGAAGCCAGCCGAGCCCAAAGCCAGCAGTCTCTGGTCTAAGGCTCGACCTTCTCGGGAGATGTCCACTCAGACAAGCACACACGCACCAGTCAAAAACTAAAGAATCTTCAGGATTATCCAGCTCCCATGGCTGCTCTCCACTTCTTTGCAAACGGATGGCAGGTCCCAGTTCAATTCTCAAGTCAAACCACCGAGCTTTCTGCCCCTCCCTTTTGATCTTGAAACACTCATTAATCATACCAAAGCCTCAGGTGCAGGGCTGTCTCAGGCAGCGGCAGGTTTCTGGGCCAGCGCGCCTTCCCTCAGCCCGGCTGGGGCAGAGCGCCCTGGGGCCTCTGTCTACTTAAAGTCCAGGACAGTCAAGGGGAGCACCCTCTGGGTGGCTCCAACTTCACCACAAGGCAAGATTTTTCATGAAAAGCTGACTTTGGAGGAAGGGGACTCATGCTGAGAGAGAGTAATGTGGAAAAAAACAAACGCGGCGCATCTTGAACTGCTTTTTACAACGTGCACAACCCAGGAGTGGTGAGGCAGCGGAGGTGTGCAACTTTACACACTCTCAAGGAAACAAAGGCTTATACAGCAGGCTCCTTGTTTCAGTAACTAATTACAAGATTAGAACATTTACAACTAAGAATCACAAGGTCCTGTAACAGCAGGTATATTTCACCCCAGAGCCAGAGCCAATTCCAACTTTAAGCAACTCTACAGGACAGGAGAAATCCTCTCTAGGGTTTCCAATGCAGTACGTCTTTACAGGAGCAGCCGCCGGCCTCAACTTTCTTCCATGGAGCAGTTGGTGGGTTTGAACTGCTGATTGGCACCCCAATACTTAACCCACTGCAATAACAGAGCTCCTTAAAAATCTATACCTATGTGCATTTAAAGAGGCACAATTCCTATTCAAAACGAAATATGTGAAAACATATCAGGAACATAAGAAATCAAAACAGCCCCTGATGTTAAACACGTGCTATTGTGTCGCACACTATTCATTACAGCTTAGTTTCAGGGTCCCCTGTGGCAAGATATGGAATGCATTCCCCCCTCAGAGATGAGAAGGTGGTCTTCTAAGAAGAAAGGGTGATACCATGACACCAAAACCTTCCCAACCAATGGACCAAAGATGAGTCGGCCTGGATAGGAGCAGGAAGTATGGCCAAGGTCCAGATGTAAGGACAAGAGCCCACCTGATGGAATCCTGGTTCAGGGTGCACTCAATGCAAGCATTGCGGAGACACCGGAAACACTCTGTGACGAGCTGCAGGCTGGAGCCCAGGGATTCTGCCTGGGAGGGCTCTCTGCAGGCCAGCTCAATATCATGAGAAGACTTCTTCAGGATACCCAGGACTCTCTGGAAGATACTGCGGGGTGCTGTCTCCCTGAAAGAGGATAAAAATGGGTGTTACTCAATGGATGGGTAGAGGGATCGTGATAAGAGTTGTACGAGTCCCCAATAAAATGAATTTTTTTAATGGGTGTTACTAACCAGGGTGGGGAAGTTAAAAAAACAACAACACACATCTAATTTCCATATGTCCTCTTCAGAAAAGCGTCTATCTCAATGTGCAAGTTGGTGGGTTGGTCTTTTCTATTCCAGCTCCTCAATTTACAGCACAAAATAGAAGATCTGCAGGGAGACCCATCTCAGGCCAGTCACCCTATGAAGTCAGCACTGTCACATCCCCACTCCAGGGTCGGACTCGAGGGGCTCCACTTCCAGTGACAGCCAGACCCCAAGTGCAAGCGCCCACACTTCTGAATCTGCTCCTCCACTGGGGCAGACAGACGGCCTTTCATGTCCACCCAGCATGCCCAAGTGTGGCCTCTGTCACCCGGTAAGAACGTCAAGTTTGGTCCCGAGAGACAACATTCATAAAAGAATGCCTGAAGGCCAAGTGTGCCATCCGATCCCTGGCTACCGGCGAAGCTGGGCAACCATCAAGTGCCCGTCCCTTACACACGCTAAATCCATGGGCGAGGGAAAGGGGGCTGACAGGCCCTGAGGAGAAAGATGAGCGGGGCTGTCCCCTCGGGCATCTCAGCTCCCTCGCCCGGGAGCATCACCTGGACTGCATAGCACGCCACAGCTATGAGGATTAAGATCAGAGTTTTTTTGTGCAACATGGCACCAAAATGCACGCCAACTTCCTCATTCCAAGAATCCCCTAAAGAATGGGCAATCTGTTAGGAGAAAGGTGATGCCGGAGCAGGCGTGGAGGGCTGGGCCATGTAAGAGATCCTCACCGTTTTGCCTTATGCCCCCACCATGGAATCTGACTCCTGCACGCCCCACCTTTTACCCCTGACGAGGCCTTGCCCACAACCGCTGTGGTGCTGTCTTGGCTGTGTGCCACGAAGGCGACTCCAGTCCACAGCAGCCCTAGAGGACAGAGTGAAACTACCACAGGGGTTTCGGGGCTATCATCGTGTGGCAGTAGCTCACCAGGTCTTTCTCCCACAAAAAGGCCTGGTGATTTTGAACTGCTGACCTTGTGGTTAGTCCTTAACACTTGCACCACCAGGTTTCTGTAGTAATGGAACTGTGCACGTTCTGGTGCTGGGCCTACACGATGAACATCTCCCGGACACGGCATCTGAGGAGACACGTCCCTAATGCTCCGGTACCACCAGTATAGAGACTCCCAGGGCTGTTTCCAGGTCGAAACCATATAAATCACCTTATTTATCATGTTCTCCTCAACGTCAGGCCCTTTAACAAGCCGAGCGCCAAATGTGTAATTAACCTTATATTTTCTATTCGCTGCAATGTCCTCACTTCCCTTCAACTGTTTCGTGCTCCATTTCTCTTTTGAAATAACTCAGGCAAGCTTGTGAAAGCTGGGCACTGGGTAAGGGAGACTGAAAGGAGTCGATGCGTTTGAAGTGTGGCGCCGGAGAAGGACCTTCAAAGTGCCATGACTGCTAAAGGACAAACAGCCCTGTCTTGGGAGAAGTACGGCCACAGTGCTCTCGGGAGGCAAAGGGGCGAGACCCCGTTTCACATCCGTCAAACATACTGACGAGAGACGAGTCCCTGGAGAGGACGTCGTGGTTGGAGAAGTAGAGGGCCGTGACAGAGGAAGGCCCTCACGAAACAGACTGACAGCGGCCGAAACCCCTGAGCTCAGGCAGAGGAACAACCGTGAGGGTGCCACAGGCCCGGACTGAGTCCCATCCTGTTCTCCGGAGGGTCGCTATGGGTCAGAACCAACTCCGTGGGACCTGACAACAACAGGCTTGTTTTACAGATGAGGCGGAGTCTGGGTCAAAGAACCACACGGTGCGGTGTGACAGTGGTGCGCCTGCTCAATCTGCCGCTCTGAACCGCTCTGGGAGCACAAAGCGTTCGTTCAGGCTCGGTGACTGGACGGACCACCAAAACCAAAGAGAAAGGCCAAGAGCAGATGTCCTCCTCCCTCGACAAGTGTCTGAGCAATGACACCGTAAAGCCAGCTCCCGTGTACAACAGACAGGACACTGACTACTAACACCTCCAAAATGGCTTTCCAAAGGGAAGCACCTCACTGCCATCAAGTCGATGCTGACCACAGTGACCCTCTGAGACAGACCAGAACGGCCCCTCTGGGTTTCTGAGACTGTAAATCTTTAGGGAAGCAGAAAGCTGCATCTTTCTTATAGTGGGTTTGAAATGCTGACCTTCAAAGGAGCTTTAAGGAGAAGTAAACAGGTTGCAATGGAGCCCTAGTGGCATGTGGGTTACCCACTGGGCTACTAACAGCAAGGCCAGTAGTTCAAAACTACCCGCTGCTCTGTAGGCAAAGATGGGGCTTTCTCCTCCGGTAAAGAGTTATAGTCTCAGAAACCCACAGGGGCAGTTCTACTCTGTCCTGTAGGGTCACTATGAGTCGGAATTGCCTAGATGGCATAAGTTTGAGTTTGGGGGAAACAGGTTGCAAATATGAGTTTGCTAAGAAAACAATCAAGGTTTAAGATCATTGGGGGAAAATGTCAAGAGTTTTATCAAAGTTCACCATAACAAAAAAATCTACCCCTATCTGCTCAAGCGGCATAAAGTTTAATGACATTTATTATTCAATCTTAGAGTCAACAAAAGTAGAGCTCTGTCTGACGATCAAAATGATGCATGCCTCTTTGAGCTATTAAGATGGCTAAGAAATGTGCACTTATCTCCATGATAAAGAAGCCAATATGAGTTCTCTCAGTAGATCGTTTGCAAGTTACCTCTCCCATGGGTACTGCTCACTCCCTTCCTGTGGGGACCCATCTTCCCTGATTTGTCTCCAGGGAATTCTACCCTGCTTCCCTAGGTTGAGAGCGGGCACAAGGAGAGCTCTGACACCCAACGATGGGAGACAAGAAACACTGGGCAATGTTCTGAACAGAGAACAGCTATTAACAAATTCACAAACTCTCGTCTTATGAATGATTTCCAATACCACATGTTACTTTGTCATATAAGCACTGTCCCTCTATCCTTCACTACACTTTAACCAAAAGGAAAATGTTTAACTGAGCTCAAGGAAAAGATGGCTGACATCCAAGTCACCATGAATAAGTCACTAAAGGATAGTCATGGCACCATCCATTTGTGCACAACAATTTGCATTTGCAATAGAAACAGAGAGTCGTCAAGGGTTGTGATCACTGTCACTTGCTGTCCTGGGAATGTACACCCATGCAGCCCCTGGAAAGACCACACACACTTCAGATCCCCACCTGCAGAATGCTCTTTCTAGTCTGTCCCCACCCAGTCCTCTGCCTAGAGGACTCTTTCCCTTTCCTCTCAGGCCTTACGGAAAGAAACTCAGTTCCAAGGATCTGCCTCTACTCCTCCAAGCAAAATGGCTCCCCATCTTTCCACTCCACAGGTAGTCTTATATTCCTATGCCTGAAGTAAAGATGTGCCCGTGTCTGATGACTGTTATTCATTCATCTGTCTGCCCAGCTAGCCTGAAAGTCCCCCCAAGGTTGGTGGTGAGTCACTGCATTGGTTCAATCTGAATACACACAGCGGCAAGACCAGGAGAGTGGCTCCTGGTATCTAACCCCAAAGCTCTGAGCATGTCCCTGAGCGAGCCTCAGACCAGGCACCAGGCCTACATGAGCAGTGACGGTGACACGCTCACACAGCAGTGACAAGGAACGGTGGAGGCAAAGCGCAATCTTCGACTCGCATCAATGGGATCACAGAACCTGGACTTAAGACACTTAAAAGGTGGAGAGAATCTAAGATGTGACAATGAAGTCCCCATCTTAGGACTGATGTTTAACAAACATCAAATTTCTCCTTCCCTATTAAATGATGTGATTAGCTTAATTGAGGGAGAGTAGAAATAAAAGGGCAAGGAGCCTGCCCAATTGCCTTCTAAATTTCTTGAGCTCCAGGTCCATGTCTGGATGTCTGGATGCCTCTGTAAAGGCTCGGGGAAAAGTCTCTCCTCAAGTGCCACAAACCAGAAAATAAACAGCTGATGATTCTGTCCAACATTGTCTCCTACAACATAATGCCTGAACGTTCACACTGTCATCAGCTGAACACAGAAACCCTTGTAGCCAATAACACTACAGCTCTCCTCCCTGC